GGGTGGGGTTCTCCCCCCGTGGGGGGGAGGGGGTTTTTTGGCCCCCCCCAACCTTATTTTCTTGGCCCCCCTTTTTGGTCCCCCCAAAAAAAAAAAAGGGGTAAAAAAAAAAAAACGGGAACCCGGGTGCCGGATTCCAGAAAGGAATTGGGTTTTTTTAAAAAGGTGGTGCCCAAGGGAGAAAACCCCATCCCGGAGGCAAACCCCGGGGGGGGGGGTTTTTTTTAAAAGTTGGTTCCCAAGGGAGAAAACCCCAACCCCGGAGGAAAAAAAGGCCGGGGGGGGGGGGGGGGGGGGTCGCTCCAGTGAAAGCCTAGCACAAGATTCGCAGTTGTGTGCCATCGCACACTTCCGTCTTCGCATTCTGACGTCTACAACTAGGGGGGGTCGCCGCAGTGAACGTCTAGCACAAGACACGTCCGTTTGTCTCGGAACACGTTTTCTATCGCACGCTGCCCTCTGCACATTCTTGAGTCTACAGTTTTGCTGTTATCTCCACGCGAGACGATTTTTTTACGAATAGAAGTTATCAAGGCAAGCACCACGTAGAAAAAGGAAGGTGAAGCAAACCTCCGATGTGACCTTCCTCCTGCATTTTTCCCGTCTGGAGCGTTCAAATATGCCAAACACATGAACCGCTGAAGTCGGAGCATGCGTAGACTCACGCCTAGAACACATGGGGTGACAACATTCGCACTATGGTTTCGTTCATCACAACAACTTTTGACATGCAGGGGTGTACTTCGGCATGATCGGCGCCATCAAGACATCTATCCTGTCTGCACCGGCGGGTGCCGACAAGACGACGAAGAGGGGCTACGATTTTGTGGCGGGGATGGTGGGAGGCACGCTGGCGACGATAGCCAACACGCCGTTTGACGTGGTGAGTGGAAGCGAATGTCTGCAGCTAAGACAAGAGCGTCTTGTAGCTAAGACAAGAGCGTCTTGTAGCTTAAGACAAGAACGCCTGTAGCTCACGACAAGAACATCTGTAGCTTAAGACGATAACACCTGTAGCTTATGAGAAGGTCGTCTATGGCAAAAACAAGAAGGCATGGAAGCTGTGGAAGTTGCCCATTGTCGTAGCCGTAGACACGAGACGCAAAGGCGAGAAAAGTCAAAAGATTTTGTTCAGTATCTGCGGTGTTCGTCAGGCAAGATTTTGTTTTCTGCTCCCTCTTGCTATGTTCGCCGCTGAGTTGCGTCGCCTTGATTGGCTTTTCAGGTGAAGTCGCGAATGCAGAACCAGCTCAAGGTGGAGGGCCAAGTTCCCAAGTACAAGCACACGATCCCGTCCCTCATCACAGTCGTAGGGGAGGAGGGATTGGCAGCCGTGTACAAGTGAGGAGTCGGGTGTTTTTCTGGATCCATCAGCTTTGGAAGCGTAACCCATGGACACGCACACATGATGTGGTTGTTGCTGTTGTTGTTGTTGTGTTTTAATCCGTGCTGTTGCTGTTGCGTTCACATTAATCACCGTTTCGGTCTCTGCTCAGTACCATTTTAACATCCGTACCGGTACAATTGACGCGAACGCATTCCGTCGTCACAGACCAACTACCCGCAACTATTTTAGTAGTTTCGTGTTTTTGTTTTGTTGGGGGTGTTTTTGTCTGGTGGGAAAGACATGTTTGTTGTATGCATGTCCCGTTCGTTTCCGTGTCCGTCTTTTTCGCACGTACCGACACGCCGTGCATTTTGCCTCGCTGCTGTCGCTCGCGCGCGCCCGCACACATGTGAGCCGCTTTCAGATGCATCTCTCGTTGCATTGCTACACATCTCGTGGCAGCGCTTCACACGCCCACCATCCATCTCCGTCTCGATTGTTTTCTTTGCGTACCGTTCGTTGATCGGATCGACAGGGGCATCGGCCCACGGCTCGTCCGGCTGGGCCCCGGCGGCGGAATCATGCTCGTTTCCTTCAATGCCATCTTGGACCTACTCAACGACTTATGACCAGAGGGTGGTGCTGACGAGACACAGCAGCATCCGATTCCTGTGTGGTCGGTAGCCTTACGAGTAGGTGCGTGTCAAGATCGACCGGCCGACGTTTTTTTTTCTGGAGGCGTTTTTTTCCGTTAGCAACGCTTCTTTGTGCCTTGAAAGGTACTGCTGGGACGAAAGAGCGGCGGTGCGAATAGAGGGGCGAAGAACGCCAGTCAGTGTTTGGGTTTGCGAATAGTTAATTGGACATCGACTTTTCGATATATTGTGCGCTCTATCGGACCAAATTAGTCTCTTGGGCGAAATTTTGGTATATTGATTCGTCCGGGTGGCGCCAGTTTTGATACGCTGTTGTAGTTTGATACGGCGGGCGACCTCGTGTCGCTGTTTCACTGACCGAGTCATACGTGTTTGGTTCGGTGTGTTTTTTTCTGGTTCTTGGTACGAAATGTTTTTTTTGTCAACACACTCACGCCATTGTTCATTTTCAAGATGGCACTGCGGTGCTGATCGTCCTTGGACTGTAGGCTAGTCCAGATCGTGAACGTATCCTTTCATAAGTCGGCAGGCAGTTCAGCAGTATATTGCCAGGGTCAAATACCCGCACGGTCTTACGTAGAACAACCGCAAGTTTTCGTTGTACAATAACTGGATGTGTTTTTGGAGTATTTTGGGACGTCGCTAAGCTTGTCAGTTTTGCCGCCCCCCCCTCAAAAAAAAAAAAACCAAAATAAAAAAAA